TGATTTACTAAAACAAGGGAATTAATTAGTACAACGTGGCTATGATTTACTAAAATGAGGGAACAAATTAGTACAATGTGGCCATGATTTACTAAAACAAGGGAATTAATTAGTACAACGTGGCTATGATTTACTAAAATGAGGGAACAAATTAGTACAATGTGGCCACGATTTTTTTAAATGAGGGAACAAATTAGTATGTGTCCACAATTTACTTAAACGAAGTACAACAGGCCACAATTGACTAATATCCACATAATGACATGCGGACAAATATACATTTATCATACTTTGCTATATAGTTCTGTATGGTTTCTGTATAGTTTTAATTAATTTTTATTTCAGTTTTAGTCTTAGTAATTTTAGTACTTCACTTAAACTTGTTTTATTTTAGTTATTTGCCAAGGAAACATTTAGATATTCCATTAGTATCTACACTCTAAAAAATGCTGGGTTAAATACAACCCAGTGCTGTCTTTGTATTTTATTTTATTTTAGATTTATTTCAATTACCAAAAGCAATTTTAATAGTTTAATAGTTAACTGGCCAGGATGTTGTTTTGTGGTTTGTAAGACAAAATGACGAGGATGCTGCAAATCTCAATGAAGAAGTAAGTGTATTGCAGGGTAGCAGTGGCAAAGTACATGCTTTTGTTCATCAGAGTCAGAAAGAGCCCTGAACATCCTAAACCTTTTGTCCCATTACAGTTTTAGGTCCTGTTGTAACAACTATGGGCTGCGTTTCCCGATAACGTTGTCTCTTAGCTCGCTACGAAGACTCTAAAGGTATATCTTAACTAAAGGTATACCTGTTCTAGGCGTGTTCCCCGAACTATACCTTAGCATGTTGCTTAAGGTAAACCTTCTTACATGCGACGTTAGCAGGTACTGTCCATGAGGGTGGTGCTGAATAGGTTGATATCGATGGCTCTAGAATCGATTGTTCAATACAGGAGCTCTTTCACTGCGTTATAGAGCTCTGTATGTTAACAAAGTTCAAACAACCTGTTCCCAATCTATAACTGCTGATAACCTTTTGTCACCAATAGGTGCTGAAACACCTCTGTGAAGTTGGTCCCCCACCCAATGTAAAACACCGGCAAAATAGTCTCAATTGTTTGTGCTCCGTTTGTGCCGTAAAATTTTTTAATTTGTGCTGCTTTGTTTTTTTTAGATATTAAAATAATATTTATAGGTCATTCTGAGGTCACTCAGCCCCCCACATACTCCAGATTCACCCCAAATAGTCGTTTGTGCTTTGTGAAATGAGATCGATTAAATAAAAAAACAGCAGACTCTTCTCTCTGATAATATATTATGTAAAACCAAGAATAACCGTTTCATATGTCAAAGAAATATCATGGAATCATCAAAGAAAATACTCCTGGTACACAAATTAACCTGGTTGAAAAATGAATAACACACACCCTTAAATCATAATACTGCATGTTGTGGCCTGGATGATAATTGTTACATGGGTAACTGCTACAGACGAGCGCACAGAGACACAGACACAGTCAGAATAGTCTTTAATCCAAAATCCAAGGGATACATTAGAGAACGCAACCACAATACTAAGATGACACCGAAACCTGAACACTGGGCTTAAATAACAAGGAGAACTGGTGAGGATATTTAACAGAACAGGTAAACGTAATCAGTAACTATAAAAAACTAATGAGCAAACAGAAGTAAGGCTAACAGGAACAAGGAATGAAAACGAAACCAAAACAGGACACGACATGACAAATTGATCATAATTAAATAATTAATTGATTATAATTGTTGGTCTGTGTACCTTCTGGTCATTTCACGAAAAATCAAAAGTTAAGCTATAGATTTTTCATATAGGCTTAATTTTTGTTCTTTTTTAATTTTTAAATTTTTTTTCCTTGAGAAAACAACGCATAAAGCTTCATCAAGTTCATCTACTTTTTATGTTTATTTATTTATTTGGAATAATTCACACTCAGCAATAAGCCTTGAATTTACCCCAGAAGAAGAAAGCGATGTGACTGGCGGCTTATTCAGCGGAGGATATAATTTCTGACGAATAAATCATTAATTCTTATTTTATTATTATTTATAACATTATTTTTACATAAACTTACTAATAGCATTTTTTTTTTTAATATAAATGTACACATTTTACTTTCCCAAACTAGCCTTTAAATGACCTGGAATAGCAACAGTAAAGGCATTAATATGACCTTGCTTCAGTTCATAAAGTATATTCTATAAATGGGTCTCCAGACATTGACTAAGTATTAAGGTGAAAAAAAAAAAATATATATATATATATATATATAAATATAGAAAAAAATATCGATTTTTTTTTAATGTGGGTTTGGGTTTTTCCCATGATGAAATAGGCTACAAACAATGTTATTATAAAAAATTCTACTGTTGTTTGTAATAGCCAGTGAGAACATGTTGCATCTCAAGTTTCTACTAAATAGGCCTTTTGTGAATAAAATTAGTAGGCTAAAATCAGCATCCACCGGGTATCATATTTTCTTGTTTTAAATCACATAAAAACCAAATGACGTTTTATTGGTTATCAATAAAGTCATCTCTGATTTGTAAATAACATGCAGCAGCCATTAGGCCACGACTAAATATATGTATATATATATACGAAGGTCGCGGGTTCAAGTCTCAGGACCGGCAGGGATTGTAGGAGGGGGGAGTGAATAACCAGTGCTCTCTCTACCCTGGGGGGAACGTTTTTGATTTCTCTTTACGTCATCTCTGATTTGTAAATAACATGCAGCAGCCATTAGGCCACGACTAAATATATGTATATATATATATATACGAAGGTCGCGGGTTCAAGTCTCAGGACCGGAAGGGATTGTAGGAGGGGGGAGTGAATAACCAGTGCTCTCTCTACCCTGGGGGGAACGTTTTTGATTTCTCTTTACGTCTTTATAGAAAAATCTAATGACCAGAAAGTACACGGACCCCAATCTTTGTGTTTTTCATTTTGGTTGTGTAGAGAAATAATGAAATAAGAATATTGCATGTTTTATTTGTGCACAGAAATGAAAATATGAATATCAGGTCTTTTTTTTCTTTTTTTTTCGTTTTGGTTTTGTAAAGACATAATGAAATAAGTTGTTTTTTGTTTTTCCGATTTAATTAGATATAATAGAAAGAATGATACTAAGAATTAAGTGAATGCGATTATTTAATGTGATTTGTTTTGCCGTTTGGATTTTACCTTGTTACTTCAACTGTATTGTTAAAAACGACAGTCGCAAAAAATTGAATATTACCGGCCGCAAACCAGCATAAACAAAGGGTATTCTGGCAGGTTTCTATAATATCATTTTTTATTGTAAGTCTATGAGAATTTTTCGTACATTTTTTTTGGCTTCCAAGCAACAATCTTCAGTCTAATTGCATGAATCATTCATTGGTGGTTGGTAGCGAGTGCTAAAGTGTAATACTGTGGGTTAGAAGTTTATTCAAATCCATAACTGGCAAAGTGAGTAATAGACTAGTTATATCTTGGCAAACACCACTAATTAATTGTTGCAAACTATGGCAGAGGCCCGTTTCCAATAAGAAGCCATACAGCTCGCTGCTAAAAGCGTGAACACTATTAGATCCAAGATTACAGCTAGAGCATTTCCGCATTTCCTTCTATAAGTGTTGCTCTTTTATTCAGATCCCTCTGGGAGCTAGTTACAAGTAAGGAATGCAGATGACTTCCTTGAGTAGACGAAAAATACTCAATTATATCCCTTATCTGCGGTTTTGTCTGCATTTTAATGTAGCTACTCTTGTGTCTGCTCATTGACTGCGTGTGGAGCACTGAGATGAACTCTTGGCATTGTTGGAATTGTAGGGCTTGGCTTATGAAAACTTGTTTTAGTGGTGTGAAATTTACCGTACAGTACCACTTGTCAGTGCGTTTGTACACGGACGGGAATGTTGACTCATGTCCTGTTGTTCCGTGTTTTCTAATCAACAATCCTTTTTTTTCTCAGAAGTCCCTGGGGCTGAAAGCGTGTGGTTTTACAGCATGAAATGTCTTGCTCATGTGTGGAGTTATTCATAGTAAACACAAACACAATGCCACACTGCCAAAGCAAACTTATCTTCCTTTTCCTTGTATTTATGATTTATATAGTCTTTTATCTAAGCATCTCTCAGTGCAATTTAAGCTGTTTTTCCTCATCTTAAACATTAGAAATGACTGGCCCTGAGGATATCTTTCAGTCATTAATTGGTGTAATCAGTTAAAACTTCTAAACCTGTAATGGTTAAATATACAAGGCGTACAGGCAGGCCATCGGTTGAACATTTATTTTATCTGATGATCCTTTGCATTTTTTCATCCACCCATACGCCATAACCTGCCTGTCAGGAAGTCCCTGATGAATCAGTCTGACCACTTTGCTTTCTCTCCATCTTCCAGCAGAGAGCGATACAGACAGTGCCAGTGAGGAAGACTCCAAAGAGGTATGTGCAAAACTTTCCCTTTGCGAAACTGGACAGGTTTAAACACAGAATAGATTGTTATTGTGTTCACATGTGAAATTATTGCAGACTACAGTTGCTGATAGTGGCCAAAAGAACTAACCACAAAGAAGAGTGCTTTTAATGGGTATGTCCAAGCAATACCCAGAATCCTTCTGTGTACATGTCTGTTTATTGTAACGGCTTTAGGGGTGTGAGGAACAGAATTGTGCTCCTCATACAGACACTAAAGGCCAAAATATGCTCTATGATATTATTCAAAGACAATTTTTATTTGATTTCACAATGTCAGAATAGTTCACCCAGAAATGAAAATTTGCTGAAAATTTACTCACCCTCATTCAAGATGAGTTTGTTTCTGTTATTTGGGACATTTTTCTCCCAGTCATCTCAATGGCCAAAGTGTCCCAATTTACCAGAATTCACCCTTGTAATAATTCTTATCTTAGCAAACACCACTAATTAATTGTTGCTGACTATGGCAGAGGCCCGCTCTGAAACACTGCTTCCGATAAGAAGCCATCCAGCTCGCTGCTAAAAGCGTGAACACTAGATCCAAGATTACAGCTAGAACGTTTCTGCATTTCTGTCTATAAGTGTTGCTGTTTTATTTAGTTCCCTCTGGGAGCTAGTTACGACTAAGGAATGCAAATGACTTCCTAGAGTAGAAGAAAAATACTTAAATATATCCTTTATCTGCAGTGTTGTCTGCCTTTTAATGTAGCTACTCTTCTGTCTGCTCATTGACTGCGTGTGGAGTACTGAGATGAACTCTTGGCATTGTTGGAATTGTAGGGCTTGGCTTATGAAAACTTGTTTTAGTGGTGTGAAATTTACCGTACAGTACCACTTGTCAGTGCGTTTGTACACGGACGGGAATGTTGACTCATGTCCTGTTGTTCCGTGTTTTCTAATCAACAATCCTTTTTTTTCTCAGAAGTCCCTGGGGCTGAAAGCGTGTGGTTTTACAGCATGAAATGTCTTGCTCATGTGTGGAGTTATTCATAGTAAACACAAACACAATGCCACACTGCCAAAGCAAACTTATCTTCCTTTTCCTTGTATTTATGATTTATATAGTCTTTTATCTAAGCATCTCTCAGTGCAATTTAAGCTGTTTTTCCTCATCTTAAACATTAGAAATGACTGGCCCTGAGGATATCTTTCAGTCATTAATTGGTGTAATCAGTTAAAACTTCTAAACCTGTAATGGTTAAATATACAAGGCGTACAGGCAGGCCATCGGTTGAACATTTATTTTATCTGATGATCCTTTGCATTTTTTCATCCACCCATACGCCATAACCTGCCTGTCAGGAAGTCCCTGATGAATCAGTCTGACCACTTTGCTTTCTCTCCATCTTCCAGCAGAGAGCGATACAGACAGTGCCAGTGAGGAAGACTCCAAAGAGGTATGTGCAAAACTTTCCCTTTGCGAAACTGGACAGGTTTAAACACAGAATAGATTGTTATTGTGTTCACATGTGAAATTATTGCAGACTACAGTTGCTGATAGTGGCCAAAAGAACTAACCACAAAGAAGAGTGCTTTTAATGGGTATGTCCAAGCAATACCCAGAATCCTTCTGTGTACATGTCTGTTTATTGTAACGGCTTTAGGGGTGTGAGGAACAGAATTGTGCTCCTCATACAGACACTAAAGGCCAAAATATGCTCTATGATATTATTCAAAGACAATTTTTATTTGATTTCACAATGTCAGAATAGTTCACCCAGAAATGAAAATTTGCTGAAAATTTACTCACCCTCATTCAAGATGAGTTTGTTTCTCCATGGGAACAGATTTGGAGAAATGTAGCATTACATCATTTGTGTGCTCACCGATCCTCTGCAGTGAATGGGTGCCGTCAGAATGAGAGTTTAAACAGCTGATAAAAACATCACAATAATCCACGACTCCAGTCCATCAATTAACATATTGTGAAGGCGAAAGTTGCGTGTTTGTAAGAAATAAATCCATTATTAAGACGTTTTTAACCTCAAACTGTTGCTTCTGTCTAAAATACGAGTCCTCTCTCGATAATATTACTTCCCCGGTAAAAAAAAGTTGTCTCTTTTGAATCAGGAGAGAAATATACACAGATCAAGCAAAAAACAGTTCTTAACAAATATGTCAGTGGATTTTGATGTGGGAGGACAACAGGGCTTTTTCACAGGAAGCATTATTATGGATTCTGGACTCATATTTTCAGTAACGATGGGTTAAAGTTAAACACCTTAATAATGGATTCGTTTCTTACAAACATGCATCTTTTCACTTCACAAGATGTTAACTGATGAACTGGAGTCGTGTGGATTACTTGTAGATTATTGTGATGTTTTTATCAGCTGTTTGGACTCTCATTCTGACGGCACCCATTCACTGCAGAGGATCTGTTGGTGAGCAAGTGATGTAATGCTACATTTCTCCAAATCTGTTCTAATGCAGAAACAAACTCATCTAAATCATGGATGGCTTAATGGCGAGTACATTTTCAGCAAATTTTTCATTTTTGGGTGAACTATTCCTTTAAAATTAGTGTGTTGCATTCTCAGCCACAAGAAGCACTATCACATAAATGCTTGCACCTGTGCTGACTTTCAGGTCAACTACTGCAAATGCAACACTTAGAGGAGAATCTTGCCGACCGAGTTAGTTTTTACATTTTTATAGCAGCTGCCTGAATAACAACATTCAGTTTAGTGGCTCAGACATTTAAAGGAAGCTCTCTTGTACTGAGGTTTGTTACTGACATGGCACAAATATGCATGTTAATATACACCACATGCTTGCAGTGCCAAAAATGTGCTTTCGCATGCATGCATAGAGTATGTTTCTGGCCTAATATGGGCCGAGAGCACTGATCCAGAGCCTGTGAAGAGTTTTTTGTGCCTTTTGAATTTTGCAGAGCAAGTTTTCACAGGCTTGTGCAAATGTTTTCACAGGCCATTGCAGTAGTAAGATTACAGACTCAAATATGCCAGATAGTCTAACATATCGAAGTACTCACTCACTTTGGCTTTTTGCATGATCAGTCCGGCCTGTGATTGTCTAGTGATGGCACAGCTGTTTTTGAGTAAACTAGTCTTGGGGGCCATTGCCTGAGTTTAAAGTTTTGCATTTAGTCTTGTACAAGTGTGCCAGATTTATATAAATCAACTTCAGCTTATTATACAAACTGATTACAAACACACATAATATGAACAAGCATTTTTACTTTAAAACGGAGGTCTTCAATGCATTATTTAGGCAAAGGATGGGATAGAAAGACTTTGCAAAAAATTGATTGTAAAGGTGCATTTTAAGCCTGACCTATAATAATATGCGTAACATACTTTATTGATAAATTTACAAACATTGCAGTGTTTTGCATTCAAATGATTATTAATTATGTACAGTGTAATATACTTTCGATTAATTTGAACATGCTTTGCTACTTGCTAGTCAAATAATGGTGTAATTATCATCCTAGAGCACATTCAATACATATGCATGATGAGTCATCAATATTTTGGTAATTTTTTTTTTCTGGAAAAGGAAGACTATACATTTTAAATGACTTTATCTGCTAAAAGATTAGTTTAAAGCTAGAGATATGGACAAAAAGCTACAAAACTCATTTTGATTTTAAAATGCCAGGTCTTGTGATTGAATGTTTCATGCTTGAAAGTTTGTGGCTTTTCCTACTTCCCGTTTACAAGCGCACAGTATCTATCCACACATGTAAGCTCCAGCATGCATCTGGGTAAATCTTACATGGTAGACACTCTCAACCCCCTGTTTTCGGTTCCTGTACCTCAGAACTCTGATGCAAAACAAGACGAGGAAAAAAAGAGAAAGAACAAGCAGTGACGTGAGGCTTCTCACTGATTCCGGCAAATGTGTTGCGGCTTGTTAGAACACTATTGAAATAGAAAGACTAAATCTCTGATTCACCCATAGAATTGCTGTCACCCAGAAGACCGCTGTCAGCTTTGACGGCTGATTAAAATGTCACTTAGGCTTTGAGGGAGGGGAATTTTGCTTCACCTGCAAAAAAAAAAAAAAAAACTTCATGGCAGGATATTAACACCCTGAAAAGTTTCTCATGGTCTTACAAATCTACAGGCTGAAGGCTTTAAATTTAATTGTACCTTTTTAGGCATACTTTTTTTTCTTAGTTTATTATGTATTTAACTGCGGCATCAAATAAATAATAAATTAAATAAAAAAATAGATAAAGAAGAAATAGATAAAATCTTAATTTAGTATTTACTGTATATTCTCATATATAAAGTTACTAAAGTATGAGTGTTTTTTATATTGTTTTTAAATTAATGTTTAATCAGGGTGGCCACGGGTCCTTAAAAAGTCTTAAATAAAGTTGTCCTAAAATAAGGCCTTAAAAAGTCTTAAATTCAGATTCGATGGGTTTTAAATATTTTCGGTCCCAGTTCCGGTCTGACGGACCCAGTGACTGTTTAAAGTCATTGGACAGACAGATTTCCCCCCCGCTGTAGTTACTGCTACAGTTAGCTGACCAGCCTCCTAGCTAGTTTAAAATGGGTTAATGCAAGTTTACTGAAAAATGGCTCTAGAATTTTGCTTGCCCAACCGGACAAATAGCCTGTTTGACAAACAAATAACCAGTGACGCATCAAAACGTGAGAATGATTCTTCTGATTTTATTACATTCAACGTAAACAGCGATTGATAATGGATTGTGTATTTCTGGTATCAAGGTCGCGCTATTTAGGCTTGCGCTGCCTGTAAGAGACTTTTATGGAGAAATCAAATCAAATGAGTGTATGAAATGAGTAAAAGAGCTGAACGGGACACAAAGAAACTCACAGCAGAAACATACTGAGGTAAAAATTCAGAATGTTAAGTTTTTTATTTATAACATGATGTAGTTAAGCAACATACCATGACAAGGGAGCTAATTGCAGAATATTCTCACGATCACAAATGTTACATTGATTTTAGTTAAATAAACTAGTTGAGTGGTCACGTAATTGGGTTACTTACATTTTAGACACAATATTGACAGGTTTGTTACTGACATGGCACAAATATGCATGTTAATATACACCACATGCTTGCAGTGCCAAAAATGTGCTTTCGCATGCATGCATAGAGTATGTTTCTGGCCTAATATGGGCCGAGAGCACTGATCCAGAGCCTGTGAAGAGTTTTTTGTGCCTTTTGAATTTTGCAGAGCAAGTTTTCACAGGCTTGTGCAAATGTTTTCACAGGCCATTGCAGTAGTAAGATTACAGACTCAAATATGCCAGATAGTCTAACATATCGAAGTACTCACTCACTTTGGCTTTTTGCATGATCAGTCCGGCCTGTGATTGTCTAGTGATGGCACAGCTGTTTTTGAGTAAACTAGTCTTGGGGGCCATTGCCTGAGTTTAAAGTTTTGCATTTAGTCTTGTACAAGTGTGCCAGATTTATATAAATCAACTTCAGCTTATTATACAAACTGATTACAAACACACATAATATGAACAAGCATTTTTACTTTAAAACGGAGGTCTTCAATGCATTATTTAGGCAAAGGATGGGATAGAAAGACTTTGCAAAAAATTGATTGTAAAGGTGCATTTTAAGCCTGACCTATAATAATATGCGTAACATACTTTATTGATAAATTTACAAACATTGCAGTGTTTTGCATTCAAATGATTATTAATTATGTACAGTGTAATATACTTTCGATTAATTTGAACATGCTTTGCTACTTGCTAGTCAAATAATGGTGTAATTATCATCCTAGAGCACATTCAATACATATGCATGATGAGTCATCAATATTTTGGTAATTTTTTTTTTCTGGAAAAGGAAGACTATACATTTTAAATGACTTTATCTGCTAAAAGATTAGTTTAAAGCTAGAGATATGGACAAAAAGCTACAAAACTCATTTTGATTTTAAAATGCCAGGTCTTGTGATTGAATGTTTCATGCTTGAAAGTTTGTGGCTTTTCCTACTTCCCGTTTACAAGCGCACAGTATCTATCCACACATGTAAGCTCCAGCATGCATCTGGGTAAATCTTACATGGTAGACACTCTCAACCCCCTGTTTTCGGTTCCTGTACCTCAGAACTCTGATGCAAAACAAGACGAGGAAAAAAAGAGAAAGAACAAGCAGTGACGTGAGGCTTCTCACTGATTCCGGCAAATGTGTTGCGGCTTGTTAGAACACTATTGAAATAGAAAGACTAAATCTCTGATTCACCCATAGAATTGCTGTCACCCAGAAGACCGCTGTCAGCTTTGACGGCTGATTAAAATGTCACTTAGGCTTTGAGGGAGGGGAATTTTGCTTCACCTGCAAAAAAAAAAAACACTTCATGGCAGGATATTAACACCCTGAAAAGTTTCTCATGGTCTTACAAATCTACAGGCTGAAGGCTTTAAATTTAATTGTACCTTTTTAGGCATACTTTTTTTCTTAGTTTATTATGTATTTAACTGCGGCATCAAATAAATAATAAATTAAATAAAAAAATAGATAAAGAAGAAATAGATAAAATCTTAATTTAGTATTTACTGTATATTCTCATATATAAAGTTACTAAAGTATGAGTGTTTTTTATATTGTTTTTAAATTAATGTTTAATCAGGGTGGCTGCGGGTCCTTAAAAAGTCTTAAATAAAGTTGTCCTAAAATAAGGCCTTAAAAAGTCTTAAATTCAGTAGGTCTTAAATATTTTTGGTCACATTACCACACAAATGTCTCCAGTCTGACGGACCCAGTGAGTGTCCATCAAGAGTACTTTTTTCCCTGCTGTAGTTACCGCGTCATCAGAGAGAA